GCCCCCAGCAGGTGCGGACCCAGTAGTCCTCCGCCTCCAGCCACCGCAGCTGCCGCTGCCACGGCGGCAGCCTTGACCGAGCTGAGCGGGTGGCAGGCGGGGTGCGCGCCCGGCTGGGGCAGCGCGCGCTTTCGGCTACCGCCGTTGAACATGGCCTTGACATCCTCCCAGGCGAAGACTAGCTCGTCCTGGGGACTCTTGTCAGTGAGCTTGAGATGACGGCGCCACGAGTTGAAGTTGGCTGCGTCCGGCTGCGTGTACTTGGCGTCGGGCGTACGGTGCGAGTGGAAGATGAACTTGTTGGGTGAGAAGTACATGTTGCAGTAGCTGCATTTGATGCACTTGGCGCGGGAGCTGTTGTAACGCGCGGGGATGAAGCTACCGCGGCAGCCCCAGGCGCACTCATGAGACACGTCGAAGGCGAAGTTGTCGGGCAGCTTGGGCGGCCTGTTTTCGCCTAGGAACGACTTGCACAAGCGCTCGGCCTCACGCTTGGTGATCATGCCGCAGCGGCGCGATGAGATGGGCATGGCCCCGGCGCGCCGCAGGATCTCCAGCTGCACCGGCGTGCACTGCACGCACGTGATGCCCAGCGCCACACGACGGTTGTGGATCTCGTTGTAACTGAAGTTCTTGAGGAGAGTGTTGGAGATCTGTGCCAGGCACAGGCGCTCTTGCCCGTCGATCACCAACGACACGATGGGAATGCCGTAGAGGATCACCTGGCCCACCTGGTTGGGTTTGAGGTTGGCGTGGCCCGGCCGCGGCTGGCTCAGCGCGTCGGGCTGGAAGGCGCTCGACGGCGATGCCAGCAGGATGTCGTTGGGCCCCGGCAGCGGGCTGGAAGCCATTTCCTCCGCCGCGGAAGCCCGGGCCGAGCCCTCCGGGTCTGTCTTGGAGACTGGAATGGAAAGGAGAAAGCGTTGACTAGAGCCTTTTCAGTCTTGAAACAGAGGGGTGGGTTGAGCCGCTAACTAAAGAATTATAATAACCCCCTAGCTCTGGCTAAGTAAGACATGATTAGCGCTGGGCAAAGGGACCAAGTTTCAGACACAGAAGTCATCTCTCTTAGTTGTCTTCAAGGTTGCCCTTTGGAAATGCAGGGATTGGGAAGTACTTTTCTTCTATTCTAAACATCCAAAGTAAGTTAACTGTGTTTAAAAAAAATGCAATCAATTTCTAAGAAACTCAGAAACTTACCCTCGATTTATAGAAGCTGTTAGAATGAAACGGCATGCCCGCTAGAAATTAGGAAGTAATGATGACAGTTGTAACTATTACAAAGTATAAAAATTATGGAAAACTGGGGGGGTGATCATTGAAACCCAAATTTAAAAAGAGAGACCATTTACGTTTGCTTAGAAATAGATTGATTTTGGTTAAGAAAAATAAACCCAAACCTTTAAAAAAGTGATTTTTGTGGTATTTGTGGTTTCCTTGGGAGGAAATGCGCTACTGGTTGAGACACAACTTATTAAAGCAAAACGAAATCCCTCCTCCCCCATCTTTGCCATTAGATATTTTGATACTGTAATTAGATTTTTTTTTGAAAGATGGGAAAATGTACAAAGCCATATGCACGATTGCACTAAAATAGGCCGTCTTACTCTCAGTCTTTCAAAAGCCACTTGCTGAACTCAGTGGTTCTGGTTCCAGAGACACGTAGTTTAAGAGGATGAAGTTGTAGATGTGTAGGCATTTAAAAACCGTTTTCTGTCATTTCCATGACAATGAGCAAATAAGTACAGGCAAGTTTGTGAAAGCCCAGAAACTGTGTAAAGAAACTAACAATTCGTGGTGATCATTAGTGGCGGGCTTTAAAAGGCCAGTTTAGTTGTGAGATGAACCACTTTCTGTGACACTTCTTTTTCTGATCTATGTAGATATCTCGGTATCTATAAGGGGGAAAAGATGACCCACGGTTTAGATAATTCGTGGACCAGGTAATGTGTGGGAGTGTTGAAAGCAGAAGCTCAGGGTTGGGCCTGCAGTAAAATGTCTATCATCTTCAGTCATTGGGATACCATAATAGGGGGAAATATTCAGTAAATTGAAAACACACAAAAAGCAAGCGGAAGAAATCTTTGTGATAAACGCTGCTAAGTCAAACCAACAAAGTTGTTCATTCCCTAGGAAGACAGACAGTGACCCTTCCACAGCTACATGTCAGGTGGGGTGTGGCTGCTACTACTACCCTTTGCCCTGGTAAATCACTGATGGCCAGAAGCATCGCCACTCTTGGCCAAGTACACTGGAGTTTGCTATTACAGCGATTTCAGAGGATATACTATCCTACCCTTTCACCCAAATCGTCATGTCCTTGCCCTCTCTGGCCCCCTGGGACATCTATCCCTATGCCTTTGCCCTGCTGCCCCCTGGATCCTCAGCTCTCATTACCTTCTGCAGCCTCCAGGAAGGTTGAACAAACCTCGACGCGATCAAACGAGACGAGAGCCTGGCCTATCACTTCGGATGGATCAGAGACAATATTTCCAGGGGACAGGGCGTTAAATGGCAGTTCATGGCACAGGGATACCTGGGCCCAACATAACCGGCCCAGCTTCGCCCAATGGTCCTTCAGTGCTCATTTCCCTCCCAAACAGGATTCTTAGGATTTTATTTAGCAACAGTGAGCAAGTTTTAACTCAAATGAGGATTCGTAGGATTTTAATAAGACCCTGGGATAACGGGAGCCCTCGCGGCGGAGCAGCGGCGCTCCGCGGGCCCGGCCCTGGCGGAGAGCTGACTTTACGTCCGAGACCCGCAGCCTTAGTAGCCGTAGACTGAGCAGGGTGTCTCCTCCTGGGTGTCTTCCACTGTCACCCCAAACCCTCCCAGAAACTCCTGTCAGAGCAGAAACACAAATAAGAGGGTTGAGGCTGTGTTTTTTTTAAAAGCGAGTGAGGGGAGAAGAGACAAAAGTTAGTTGACCTGAGAAGGGAAGCTGGCGAACTTCCCTGTCCGACTCAGGAGCCAGCGACCCCCAACTTAACTCCCCTGGCTCCCAGACCAGTCGCCACGACAGCCCGCCGCCGCCCCTCAGCCTAACCCGGAAAACCCCGCCGCAGGGACGCCCAACTGTGTGCCGAGGCAGGGCCGGCGGGGTCAGCAGTACCTGGTAACCCCTAGGTGTCTTTACGCGCGTGGCTGCCGGCCCATCTTCCGAGGGCGCTCGGAGGCGAAGCATCCAAGCGGGTCCTCGAATCCAGCGGGCGGGACTCCGGAGGGCTCCGCGTGAAGATCCTGGCGCTCGTCGGCGCTAATGGCGCTCGAACCCGGGCCCGGGGAGAACGACAGCCTGAATTGTGGCGGGGCGTCCCCTCGACCGCAGAAAAGTGTGGGCGCGCGGAAACCCGCGGCAGGCGAGCCCCAGGTGGAGCGCAGTCTGACAGCGCCTTTCTCTGTCTCTGAACTCCTGTCGGACCGAGGGGACGCCACCCAGCGGGCAAGGTGACGTCACCGTCTCCCTGACACTCCACATTAAAGGGCTGGCATGTTCCAGGGAGGGAGGGGGGAGGGAAAGCGAGAGCGAGCAACATCGAGATCCTTTCTCAGCAGGCAAGAAAGCTAACACCCAACCAAACCCGCAATTGACAACAACCTCTCCAACCCCAGAGCGAAAAACGCAGCAATAGTGCTGTAGTCGCAGATCTGATTTAGGAGTGAGAAGTCAAATAGTCTGCGTGCATCCTAGGGACCTGGATCCCGGAGGCCCCGGATTGTAGAAGGACGTCTCTAAATCGACTGTATCCCTGCCCGTTGCTGTCCCCTCCCCTTATTTCTCTGAGCCACCCTCCTTCGTGAATGATCCCTCTGGTACATGGTGCAAACCAGTAGCCTCGCTGTGCCTCCAAAGACAGAGGAACTACAGTCAGCTGGAGAATAGATTAACTTCATCACCTCGTCTGAAACACTGTGAAATGAGAAAAAAGGGAGAAGTTTCTGCGTGGGGTTCCCAGTCTAGAAACTTGGAAGCATGAAGAATGTCCTTGCTTTCGAATATACCTTTGCTTTTTAGGGCAAGATACAGAAAGTCATTGCAACATTCTCTATTTTAGAAAGTGTACAGTTAAGTAAGGACCCCAGTGAGTGTGTGTGTGCACTCATCTATCAACTTCATTCAGAATAGTTCTCTAACCCACTTTATAAGACCCATGCAGGCCACCTCAGCACAAGGAAAAGGTGAGTCAGGAAAGCAGGGAGGACCTCAAACCTGAACCACCCTTGAGCAAGTTGCCAATTCTCCGAGAAAAGTAAATTCCTCCGGGAACTATGTAGGAGCATACATAAAATAAAATTAAAATAAAATAAAATAAAATAAAAGGCAGCTGGGATGAGAAAGAACCATTCCCCACAGCTTCCCGAAGGTGATGCATAACCTAAGATATAGTGAAGTGTCAGTATATTGCCTCCTAATTGATCAGCTGTCAGGAGTCAAAATGACTAACCCTAGTTTATCAAAAAGGGAAAAAGCTATCTATTTGGAAGACATTCTAAGAAGGATACTGGCAGGGGTTGGGATTGGGGATCCTTTAGTTTTTCCTTTAGTATCATAGCTGAATTTTCAATTGCTGCCTGGTAAACACACAGGCTCAGAACTGGACAGTCACATTGTGGAAGTCATCAGGCAACTTCCACTAGCCAGGAAGCCCAACCAGACTCCATCATAGAGCATTAACAATGAACCACCACTAAGTACAGAAGGGAAAATGTGCAATTTTAACACTTCATCAAAAGTCAATAAAACCAAGGAGAGTGGATCAAACAGAAAAGTGAGGGATATACGATTTGTGGCTGTCTTAAATCCAAACGCCAAGAACCAGTTTTAGAGCTGTGGAAATTGTGACTTTTTGGGGACATAAATTTCAAATGTCAGTGCAATAACTTTTTGCCCATTTCTTAGTTTCTAAATGCATTAGCTGCACAAATTAGGCTCCGTCCAAAGGGGCTGAAGTCACTGAAGCGCTCCCTCCCAAGCGCTTTCCTCCCAAACCTCCCAGCCTAAAAAAAAAAAAAAAAAAAAAAAAGGAAAACTCACGTTCTGTGCCTCCCCAGCCCGTTAGCCAAAAGAGCGTCATTGTCATTCACAAATCTCTTCCCTCCTAAGGCTGAAGGCCTTGTGCTCTTCTGAAGGTTCCGGACCCAGGCCTGTTTTCTCCTACCTTCCCTGCCCCCTCTCTGGGGCCAGAGGCTCCCACAAAGCAAGGTCCCGGCTTGCTTACTATTCCTAGAGCCCAGGCTGCTAGAAAGAAAGCATGAGCTGCTTGGAAAGGACGCGTGACAATGGGCGGATTTTAAGACTTGAAAACGGGGAAAAACGCAAAGTCGTATCAACTCATTAATGTACTGCAGGGAAATGCCTGGTTGCTGCAGAGGAGGAAGCACCATGGGGTCCTCCCTTTCTTATAGAACTGTTCTCATCTTTGCCTCAACCCCCCCAAACTCCTTTCCCCCTTACATATCCCTATTTTGAAATGTGTCTTCAAAAATATCTTTCCTTGAAAAGAGAAACAGAATGAATCTTTGTCTTGCCTCTCACCCCAGATTACCCTGAGGAGTGACTCCACACTCAATGGTACCCCTAGCCACCTCTTTCCCTGATTTTTAAACAAACATTTATACATTACGTTGGGGGCTTTACTGCCATACAAACCTGTGACTTTATTTTAATGCAATAACATTTCACTGGAAAGAGAAATGTGTGATGTTAGGTTAAGTACCTTTACAAATAATTCTAAGATAGCAGAAAATTTTATTTCTCCAATGAGTCTGGGGTGCCTGTTTGGGCTGTCAGACCAATTATATTTTTGGAAGGTGAGGGTGGAGAACAGTTGTTCAAAACCAGACCCCATGTTCCATAGAATCTGCAGCTGGACTGCAAAATTACATTTTGTTTATATATTTTGAGTCTGTGAGCAACTTTTTGCCACCCACACTGTCTCTCTGATTCTTAGCTTTCTCCTCAGTTTGAACAAATCTCCTGGTGGTCCTCCACTGCCCTTCCATTTTCCTCTCTTGGGCCCCGGGGTGTCTGATTCTTGTCAGTCCCTGTCCTCGCCCCTGAGACCCTGGCAGGCTCAGGGAGGAGCCGGCGGTAGTGGGAGGCGGCAGGTCGGGCCAAGTTAATCAATGCTTTCCTATTCGAGCTGACATGCATTTTACACGTCGGGACTCTCCTCAGCCGGCTAATTGATTCAAATTGTTTTATTGGTTAAACTGGTGTCACCCGTTTGCATGATGTATCACCGCGCGGAGAAGAGCATTTCCACTCTCATCTCCGTTCCGGGCGGCTGCGGTTCACCCAGGCCAGGGACAGGTAAAGGAGCCCAGACACCGGACCCAAAGGAAAACCGCAAACCGAGCTGGCCCCCTCGGAACTGGAGAGGCGACGCCTCGATGCAGGCTCACCGGGCCGGCGCGGCAGCTTGGATGGCGGTTTCCAGCTACAGCTTTTCACAATTGGTTGAAGGGAACTCAAACCTGGCCGGGGAGTCCTCCACTTTGGACGCAGTCTGTTTCCGAGCTGTGGCCGTGGTCCCTGCGGGTTCGAGCTCAAGGCCCAAGCAGGGGCAGGAGCTGTTCGCGGTGCTGACGCGAATTAACGCTCAGAGGCGTAGCAGATCCTATTGCATTCAAGGCCCTCCCAGAAGAAGGCTCCCATCCTGTAACCATCAGAGCCCTAGATTTGGCTCTGGGCTCAGCATTGGCTTTGTAGGCTTAAAAGGCAGGCAGGCTGGGGGCACAGAAACATACTCCCTTTTTCTGCCGCACCTGTCCCATCTCCATGGACTGTTTTTGCATTGACCCACAAGGAAGATAAAAGCCTTAATATAAACTCATCACAATTACAAATGCCAGATATTTTCTGTCTTCTCCAGCTCCCAGCTTTGGTATTGACATGTTACAGATAAAAGAAACATCTTCTATCCCTCTCATTCATTCCCTCTTACACCATTCTCAGCTTTTAAGCAGAAATATTACTGCTTCAGTGTCCCTGACATTGGTATTTCTGCATCAGGTAGGGCAAGAATATTTGTTCCAAGTCTGCAAAAGGGTACTCACATGGCCCAGAAAGAAACTGGAAGATTGGCCAGACTGGAAGGGACACAAGAATTCTGGTATATCAGAACCTACAGGAGATTCAATCAGATGAAATGGTATAAATATCTCCTTGATCACTTAGTAGCTGTGGAATTTTGTTTTTATGCCTAACCTCCCTAAGTCCCAACTTCTTCATCTACAAAATGAGGAGATTGACATGTAACTCACAGGGGGGTTTGAGAATTAAATAAGGTAATATATATATAAAGTGTTTGGCACACAATAGTCATTTAATATATGGGACCACCTTCCTCAGAGGATGAGGACAAGAGCTAGGACTGTACTATTACAAGATAACATTAGAAAAGTTCAACAGTCCCAGATTAAAAGACATCAAAGGCATTTTGGCTTAGTGGTGAGCAGAGAGGGAACCAAGTTCCTTGGAGGAACTTTAGTCCTTTTCATTAGAACTTTATCGTGACCTGAATTGGTCTAGTGTTTATTTTGTATACAGGTAGCCAGAACGACAGCTAGTGTTTGCTTAGCTTATTTTAAATATGTTGATAATAAAAATTAGCAATGAAAATGACCATAATGATAATAATTGCTGATAGCCCCTGGTTCCCACTTTCTATCCAAAGGAGCTTTCTGTAGCCTGGCAAGCCCAGCTCAGACTCCCTGGCTTTTCCTCCATTGCTCTAGCTGGAGTTACATGACGCAAACCAAGGACCAGGAACAAACTAAAGACTCATCCATGATGGAAGTCATGGAAGAAATGAATAAAGCCTCTGAGCATTCTGAGGTTGGCTCTTATTCTTTGAGCTTTCTCCAAAATATTGTCTATAAACAAGGGCCTTTTTCCCTGGGGCCAGGCAAGGCTGAGATAAGTGCAGTGGGAGCACAAACATAAAAATCTAAGCCACAATTGGGGAAAGGAAGGGAAAATGAACACATCTGCACCTGTATCCCTGACCCCCAAGGTGATCCCTTGAGATCCTCATGCTCCAATGACTATGGAAATCGGTGAGAGTCCTTATCTTTCATACAAAAAACTGTAAGAAACAGACTGTGGGAGAAGGAACCAAGACTTAATTCCCCTTAATCAAAGGAAATCATTCTCACAAGAAAATTTGCCCTTGGGTAAGTGGCAGAGAAGGCTCTTACCCTGCTGGTTCACAGAGGCCAGGGACTAATGGAAGTATTTGCTATTGAACTTTCTTTTTTATAACAAAGAATTCCCATTTCTTCACAAATCCCCACAAACTTGTAAACACAGCAAGGTACACACATGTGCACATAGTTGACATGAAGTAATAAAATCTGGAATGGAACATGTCCTTGGTGTACTTGGTGGTTATTCAG